GTACTAGCTCAAAGACTTTGTATATTACTTTCTACACTACATTTCTACATTACTTAGTACAAGTGACCAAAAAACCTAGTTTCATCTAGCGTAGGCATGCACAATGAGTCATGTAACTCATTTGCAGGAAAGGCAGGGGTACAGTGGGATATGAGGTACAACGAACTCCAGTGCTGCTGGCACTCACTCCTTAGATTTCTCCTCTGCCTGTCTTGCATGCGTGCGAGCTGTATTCTCATTTATTGCAGGCTTCTTCCAGGGGGCAGGGAACTTGACCCCTGATACTTCCAGAGTCTCTCTCTTCACAGTATTCGCAGCAGGAACCAAGCCTTGTTTTCTGTTTGATCGTAAGTGCAAAACTCTCAGGAAAGGATGTAATTGGCTCAGCTTGGGTCAGGTGGCGTTAGGACCGCTAATAAAATGTCAATTTCAATCATTGTTTTTTGTTTTGTTTTGTTTTTTGAGATTTTGTTTTGTTTTGTTTTGTTTTCTGTCACTCAGGCTGGAGTATAGTGGCACAATCTCAGCTTACTGCAACTTCAGCCTCTGGGGTTCAAGTGATTCTCAGGCTTCAGTCTCCTGTGTACCTGGGATTACAGGCATGCCCAGTGATTTTTTTTTTTTTGTATTTTTATTTATTTATTTATTTATTGAGACAGAGTCTCACTCTATCACCCAGACTGAAGTACAGTGGCTCAATCTCAGCTCACTGTAACCTTCATCACCTGGTTTCAAGCGATTCTCCTGCCTCAGCCTCCCGAGTAGCTGGGACTACAGGCGCACACCACCGTGCCGGCTAAGTTTTGTATTTTTAGTAGAGACAGGGTTTTACCATGTTGCCCAGGCTGGTCTTGAACTCCTGACCTCAAGTGATCTGACGGCCTCCGCCTCCCAAAGTGCTGGGATTACAGGCATGAGCCACCAGGCCTGGCCCAGCTTCCATCTTAACAGTGAGAAAAAAGGACATCCCAAAGAACTGGGTTCGGGCATGGGGAAAATGGCTGCTGTTCTAGCCAAGGCAAAATGGTAGATATTCACAACAGGGAGTCATGAAGTCTGCATTTGGGGGAGGTGCAGGAAATGGTGAGGAAGATTTGGAAAACTCAAGGTGGAGTCATCGAGAGGCAGAGGAACACATTCTGTTAAACAGCTAAGCGAGAGACAGTGCTGACTGCATTTTCCTCAAGTGAGAGATGGGGTAGGGACAGCATCCACAGTGATGTAAGCCCTGTAGAGACTGACCTGCTATGGGGAGGACAGGAGGCTGAGGAGAGCCAGGCTAGACCCTAAAGAACAGGAACCTGTAAAGTCAAGAGTACGGCTGCGAGAAGAGGGAAACAGGACTGCTCAGAGCTGAGCAGAACATGCAGACTATGAACTTCTGATGCCAGAGGCAGTGTCCTCCTTCTTGCCCCAGCGGGGCCAACTCCATTTTCCCACATCTAGTGGTTATTTTTATGGATAGATTTATTTTTATCCGTTCTAGACCTCAAACCTGCCACTGCAAGAAGCGAAGCACTGAGGCTTCTAACTTTCCAGAAAACACAGGCCTTAGTGGTCAGCTCAGTGACAGAGACCAGGCTACGGTCCACTCGGCTCCTCTGGGGTCACATTGTCCTCTGGGGACAACATACCTCCCTCGTGTCTGCAGCAGAGCTGGGGTGGGAATGGAGTGGGAAGGGGATTCCTTTTTTCTCATCCCACAACCCCACAGTCGGTCAAGGGGAGGACCTGCAGCCACCCTGAAAGTCATCATCCTGGCCTGCCCTGAATCCTCGCCAGCCAGAGGTGGGATAGCCATCAGAGCCTCTTTTGACAGCACCTCCCAGGCAGAGCCTGTCTCGCTGGAATCCAGGGAGCTTGAGGGGAAGATCTTACCTTTCCAATAATAACCAGCTATGAAAGGGTATCATTTCCCAGTCCCCACAAAACAGGCAGCCAAAGCAGACTTCTTCTTTAATGGGACCATACATCTGGCCTAAATTGTTATTCCCCCAAGACAAGTTTACTGAACAGTTAGGCAATGCCTCCACACACAGCCACTGCAGACGAGCTTAAAATATACTTTAATACGTTTAAAGAGTCATTTCAGAGACTGGCTTACTTATGATAAAGATGCAACTGACACTCATTGGTGCTAAAATGTCATGTTGGTGCCATCCAGCAGGGAGCCTGACAAGCCGTTAAATCTGCAGCTCTTTTCGGCTGATTCATTTCTTTTCCTTTCTTTCTCATGTCTTCCCCAACAACTGATTTGGGCTCCTGAAGCTGACATTTTGCTAGGGTCTACCCAAATCTAACAAAGGTGCTGTGCATTGGGGGGTGTGTCTGTAGTCCCAGTTTCCAGGAAGGCTGAGGTGAGAGGATCACTTGAGGTCATGAGTTTAAGACCAACTTGGGCAACACAGGGAGACCTATAATGAAAAAAAGAAAGAAGGAAGGAAGGAAGGAAGGAAGGAAGGAAGGAAGGAAGGAAGGAAGGGAGGGAGGGAGGGAGGGAGGGAGGGAGGGAGGGAGGGAGGGAGGGAGGGAAGAAGGAGGGAGGGAGGGAGGGAAGAAGGAGGGAGGGAGGGAGGGAAGGGGCGAGAAAGGAAGAGAGGAAGGAAGGAAGGAAGGAGGGAGGGAGGGAAGGAAGGAGGGAAGGGGGAGAAAGGAAGAGAGGAAGGAAGGAAAAAAGAGAGAGAGAAAAGAAAAAGAGACAGAGAGAGGGAGGGAGGGACAGAAAGAAAGGAAGGGAAGGGAAGGGAAGGAGGGAAGGGAGATGGAAGGAAGGAAGGAAGGAAGGAAGGAAGGAAGGAAGGAAGGAAGGAAGGAAGGAGAAAGAAACGTTGAAAGAAGGGAAGGGGAGGGAAGGGGAGGGGAGGGGAGGGAAAGGAAGAGGGAGGGAAGAGGGAGGGGGGAAGGAAGGAATCTAACAAGTTACCAACTCTGTTCTTGAAATGCCCTGGGAAGGTGAGAGTGACCAGTGGAGTTGCAAGAGGCTGAAATGAGAACAAAGGTCACCTTTGGAGTCCTGTACGTGCCTTGAGGGTGGGAGGGTCAATCACTAGGCAAAAAGGACTAAACAACCCACAGTTTCCATGGAGGGTGGCCCTAAAATCTCCCCCTACTCCTGCAACTTTCTTCAGCTGCTGGCAGGGAGAGGCACAAGCACAGGCAGGGGCTTATTTTTTTTCTCTTACTTTTTTTGTAGAGATGGGGTGGGTCTTGCTATGTTGCCCAGGCTAGTCTTGAAATCTGGCCTCAAGTGATCCTCCTGCCTCAGCCTCCCAAAGTACTGGAATTACACGGATGAGCCACTGACCCTAGCCAGGGTTATTTTGGATTGTGTTTTCAGATGATAGCAGGCAATCTCCAGCCTCACATTGAGGAACTCTGAGTTCTGAGCCCAGCCCAACCAGTCTAAAAACATTACTGGCTGGGTGCAGTGGCTCACGCCTGTAATCCCAGCACTTTGGGAGGCCGAGGCGGGCAGATCACGAGGTCAGGAGATCGAGACCATCCTGGCTAACACGGTGAAACCCCGTCTCTACTAAAAATACAAAAACAAAATTAGCCAGGCGTGGAGGCAGGCGCCTGTAGTCCCAGCTACTCGGGAGGCTGAGGCAGGAGAATGGCATGAACCCGGGAGGCGGAGGTTGCAGTGAGCCGAGATCATGCCACTGCACTCCAGCCTGGGCCACACAGCAAGACTCCATCTCAAAAAAAAAGAAAAAAGAAATAGCAGGGTGAGAAAATGAAGAGGAAAAAGAGGACCCAAATGAGAGAACATTGGGAAGGGTGCTAATTGGACACAGGGGAAACTGAACCCCTGGGTCTAATTCACAACTCTGTTTCTCCATGTGCGTGTGGCTCTGCTTCTTGGGGGCAGGGATGACAGCAAAGAAGGACAGGGGTGGTGTGAGGTGTTGGGTTAGAATGATAGGATCAAAGAGGCCTTTTCCCAACACTCTGTTTAAAAGGTTGGGAAGTAGTGGCCAGTCACCTTCTTCACAGCATAGCTCATAGCTATAACCTGTGAGATATATGTCAACACGCCTTCCACAAGCATATAAACATGAGTGTGTTTGCTGAGGTAGGTGTGGGAATCTGTCAGTCAATGAAGATATGTTGTTGTGTGAACTAGCTGATGGTGCATGTTTGTGCTTGAAAGCCATAAAGTTCTATGCAAAATCTATGGGTGGCACTGTTGCACAATGCTAGTGGGTGTGTGGGTATGGGGGTGTGATTAACAGTTTACAGGCTGTGTATAAGTGTGCAGGGATGTCTGAGTGTGTCCAAATTAAAACAGAAATGTGTGCCGGAGTATGATACAAGTACAGGAAAGTACTTGGGCTTTGGAGTCCGTCTGACTTGGCCTTGAATTGTTGGCTCTGTCATGAACCAGATGTATAACCTTGGGCCAGACACTCAATCTTCAATTTCCTCAGCTAGGAAATGAGGCTAATAACAAGTACCTTTCAAAATTGCCATAAGGACTAGAAATGATATCGTATAGACAAAGCTTTTGGTGTCATAGCCTACGCATAGCAGGACTCAAAAGTAGGCAGCTATTTTCATGCACTGTCAGTATACCTCTGGTGGGTACAGGGGCAAGAGGGAACAAAATGTGACCTGTATATAAGGTGTCGGGGAGGAGGTGTGTGTGTGTGTGTGTGTGTGTGTGTGTGTGTGTGTGTTTACAAAACAATTTATTCTCCTTCTCCAAGGAACCCCCTATTCAGACAGGAGCAGGAAGGTGGGAGGGGACATACAAGTGTCCACAGACACCTTGGGTTTCTGGGTCCTGGATCTAAGTGAGTAAGGGGTTGAGAGGCCCATGGGAGCTGCAGGAAGCCAACCGCCTGCCGAAGCTTCCTTTTTTTTCCCCTCCGCCCAGCAACCGTTGAATACCGCCACCCACATCCACTCCCCACCTCCACCCTCACCCCTCCTCCACCCCACTCAGCTTTCTATTCAACAAGTGAGAGCAAGGGTGGAGAAGAAAGCCGACAGGGGAGAGGATTCCTTCCCTTTCTTTCCCCATTCCCCCTTAAGACGAACCAGGAAGCAACCGCAGGAATCGGGCCACCTTAACAGTAGAGTAATGGTTTGGCCTCATGCCAAGTCCCACCTCTGTTCCAGCTCCTGCTCCTCCCCTCTCTCTTCCCGCACTGCTTGGGGAGAGCTGGTGAGCAGGAGTCTGGCCCGAGTTAGCTAGAGCTGTTGCCATGACAAGCATTTTCTTAAGAAAGCTCTGCTGTTGAGATTGTCCAACGCTGGGGGCTGGGAGGGGGGCACGAACTTCCTGGGCAACCATCCCTCTGAAGAGAGCAAGATCAGAGACACCCGTCCAGCTCTCCTGCACCCTTTTTCTTTCAGGAACCTGAGAGGTCCTTCCCATTGGAAGGGCAGGGGGAGGAGACCCAGCCCACTCCCCGGCCTTAGCCGGAAAGGCAAGAGAGCAAAGCCAGCGTCTCCAGCTTGGTTGCCACACTGGGGAGACTGGTGGGTGGTCACCCCACCCTACCCCCATCCATGGAAACCCGGAGGGAGAGTCCCACTTGGAGAAACCTGGATCTTTGCTAGAAAGAGAGGTAGGCTTGCAGAGAATGAATTGACTTGTGATTTGCAAACTTTGTTTCTTTCTTTTCTCTCAGTGGCTTCTAAAACTCCCCGATTTTCCTCTTTCTAGCATATTTCATGCGACTGGGTTTGGAGGATTTTTAAAAATATGTGTGTGTGCACAGATTTGTCAAATACTGTTTTCTGAGAAACTGTATAGTCAAATAAGTGATTTATCTCTCTTTTTTTAGTTCTTGTCATTCCTGTGCTATGGGGTAGGGGAATGGAGGGACTCTCTTTTTGACACCAAAATTGAACTCTTGGAAAAAACATTTATCTCCCCTCCCTCAACCCATTCCATTCCTGCCCTCCCCTTCCCCCTTGGCTTGGGAATGAGACGCAGGATGGAAAACTGTTGCAAAAATATTTTCCGTGTCTGTTCCCTTTCTCAAAAGCCCAAAAGAGAGATGGGGAAAAAAAAAAAAAAGGAACTAAAGAAATCTTCGGCAGGAAAGGGGGGCTGCAGCGGGAACTAGGAGAGGGGCACTTTGGGGCCATGGGGTAGAGGTGGGCTGGGAGAAGTTGGGAGGAGTGGGGGAAGGAGAGTGCACAAATTAAATTTCTTTAGCTTTGCAGAGAAACCTAAGCAGTTTCTCTGTGTTGCTTGCAAAACATCCTCAGACTTTCACATCTATAATTAGCTGTGGAAAAAGCTGGGAGTTCCCTCGTACCGCTGTTGTTTGAGAGTGTGTGAGCGTCCAGAACCAACTGTATGAGTGTCTCCGAGGGCACCGCCCCACACATCTCTGGTCCCAAAGGGGAGGAAGGAGAAGGGTGAATTGAAAAGTTTCCGATTTCAAGGCTGGAGACTGTGGGGCTGGTGAGTGTTTGGCAGACGGGGTGGGCCACAGGCATCTGTGGAAGGGTCCCTGAGCATCTTGGGTCATTTCCTTGGTTTGCTGAAGAGCTAGGAATTAAGAATGGGATTGTCCTTCCTGCTCTCCTTTCTCTCTTTCTCTTACGTACTTGGTTCGCTCTTGGTAGAGGGGGCTGCTGGCATCCTTCCCCGAGTCAAGTCTGGCCTCATACACTCCTCCACCTCCCTGAGGGTACCCGCCGCTCTTCTCCAACTGGGTGTGGAGGGTGCAGGAGTGGCCAGCCACATCTTGGGAGGGGAGTGGGCACTCTGCTGGCCAGAGGCACCTCCCTCCTGGGCATTCCTGCCGGACTTACAATAACTTGCAGACATGATGCCGGCGCCTGCTGGCCGGGCAGGGGGAATGTCAGATGAAGCAATAGGCCGGCATTCAACTGAGGCCCCTGTGGGGAGGGGAAAGGAGTTGGGGAGGGAAGGGAAACAAAATCCCATTCTGTAGTGCTCCCTCCTCTGGGTGAGGAGTCTGGCAGGGAGTCTAGAGACCCTCGCCCTGCTCCTTAAGCCCCTCCCCAAGCTGCCCTTTCTCCAGGGCTTCTCATTGGAGGCCCTCCTGTGCCCCCTTCACTCTGGGCCCTCTACCTGGAGGAAGGAGACCAAGCTTATTCCAGGCTGGGCCAGGCCCAGGAAAGGAGCCTGGGGGTGAGGAGGGGCTGGGCCAGGAGCGTTTAGGAAGAAGGGGATGGAAAGAGGCCTCCTAGCCCATGAGCTGAGTTACCCTCCTTGGCTGAGGGTGGTGGCTTGGGGAGCAGACTCCGGGAGGGGCAGGAAGGATGGTGGCAGCTTGGTAAGCCGTGTTCTGGAAGGTGGGCCCTAAACCCTGAAGCAGACAGATCTGTGGGAATCAGGCTGGGGGAGAGGAAACACCTGCCTTCAGCCCCAGGGCTTGGAGGAGTGGTAAAGGCTACAGCTGAGAAACTGGGGGAGAAGGAAGCAAAACACTTAGAGGAGAGCTCATCTCGGGGCTGAGGAAGCAACAGGAACCGATTTTCATTTTGAGGTGTTAATTGATCTGACTGCACCCCATTGGCTAGACTCTTCCCTACCTGTATTCTGGTCGGTAAGGGAATGAGGCCTTCCCCAGTGGGCAGGGTCCCCAAGACAGAATCAATGCCCGTGTTCTGGAGGGAGGGGATCCATTTCTTTGCTCCTCCTCGGGAGTCCCATCCTCCCTGCCACCATCTTGCTGAGGTGCAACCCCGAAAATCACGCCGCTTCCGCCGCGGCCTCCCGTCGTGGGGGCCCAGAGTGTCACTATTCCTGCAGCCGGCCTTCCTATTTTCAGTAATCTGATTAGGGGTCGATGTTGACGGGCTCAGGGACTGCTTCTCCGTGAGGTCGTTATTTAGCGCGCACCGGGTTGCCTGCTCCCGCGGCTTTGAGCCTGGGGTCGCTGCCAAAGCGGGGAATCGGCTCCCGCAGTCTCAGCCCTTCCCCCGGGGCTCGGGGCGGGATCGACTGCGCAACCCCGCGGCCCCTCTGCTTTCCGCGGCCTCTGCGACCCCGCCCCGCCAGCCTCTCCGCTGCTGGGCTCCACCCTCCCGGGCTCTGCCGTAGTCTGAGAACTCCGTGGAGAATGCGAACTGAGCTGCCAACGGAGGCTTCCTGCCTTCCAGGTCGTGCCGAGCCTCAGACCCTTCTCCCTTCCATTTACCACCAAGTCTCTGGATTGAAGGTCAAGTCAAAGGAGCACAGCCTGTCTTACGCCTGGGACTCCCAGCGCCCAGCACAGAGCCTGGGACGTTAGAGCGCTGGGTAAACGCGCATTGAGAGAAGTACGGGCAGTTTAGGGGGCCTTGGAATCAGCCTGATGCCAGCGAGTTCCTAACCCGCCGTCTGGCCTCCAGTTTCCCTTCTGCACAATGAAAAGCCTGCTCTTCACAGTAGAGGTGACAGGGCGTGGCTAGGCAGATTTGTCACATTGCTGTGGTCTTCGTCAGAAGAAAATCAAAATGAGAGGACCCAGTTAGGGGCAGAAGGAGAGCGGTTAGAATTTGCCGAAGGTGTGGGTGCTGGAAGAGGTAAGGTGGTGTGTAGGGGCTGGACGTCCTGGGCCAGGATATCGGGAGGCTTTACTCTTCCCCACTCCCACTGACCCGAGGTCCTGAGAGGAACAGGGGCTGGGCTGCTCCCTGCCACCTGTCAGCAGGTCAAGTCTTCCACTGCAAACTGCCTCTTATTCAAGAATTTAGCTTCTCTCCAAAACTCCGAAACCCCGATGGGCACTTTTCTCTCTCTCTCTCTCTCTCTTTTTTTTTTTTTTCAGTGCTCCTGGCCTTGGACCCAGCACCCAAAGACATGGATCAGCCCTGCCCACTAGGACAGAGCATTGCAGACCCACTAAACCTTGGAGAGAGGAAAGAATCTTGTTCATTCTTTTTTTTTTTTTTTTTTTTTTGAGACGGAGTCTTGCTCTGTCACCCAGGCTGGAGTGCTGTGGCCGGATCTCAGCTCACTGCAAGCTCCGCCTCCCGGGTTCACGCCATTCTCCTGCCTCAGCCTCCCGAGTAGCTGGGACTATAGGCGCCCGCCACCTCGCCCGGCTAGTTTTTTGTATTTTTTAGTAGAGACGGGGTTTCACCGTGTTAGCCAGGATGGTCTCGATCTCCTGACCTCGTGATCCGCCCGTCTCGGCCTCCCAAAGTGCTGGGATTACAGGCGTGAGCCACCGCGCCCGGCCATCTTGTTCATTCTTAGTCCCCAGAATAACCAAGACAAACCCCGTTAGCCAAACCCCTAAAAAACTGTTTGATTTAGGTTAGATTAGCTCCAAACTCCAAGGTTAGATTAGCAATCTGACCTTGAAGGGGAACACCCCACTCAGAGTCTTAACTATCCTTCTCTGGAAGGATTCTTCAGGCAATCTGAATTCTTCCCCCAAAGGGTGCCTCTCAAACAAGGCTCCCTATGCAGTCCAGCTCCCTGTTTCTTAGATAAGCATTGATTCCTATCATCCCAGTCGGTATTTGGTGGGTAGGGCTGAGAAGGAAAGAGCCATGAGAAAAGCAAGGCCTCTGCCTTGTCAGACTGGGATGACAACCTTTCTCCACTCATTTCCCCTTTTCTACAGGTCATAGGATTAGAGCAGGCCCTGAGGCTGGAGTCCAAAATGCTTGTGTGGAATGTTTTGCCCTTGGCTTCCTCTGCCAGTATCTCTCTTTGTGTCCTCTTTCCTCTTTCCCTTGTGTGAGCCATTCTTGTTCCACTGACTTATTTCCTCCGCACATGTTAAAACAGAAATGACAGAGACTTTCTATTTCTGCCTCTACCTTAAGCCAGTCCTCTGTGTTCAGCCTACACCAACTTGGGTTGAGGAGGGAAACCAGGCAGGATCTAGTGAGAACCAGAGCCAAGGGCCCCAGGTCAGAGAAGAGGCTGTTGAGAGGCAGTCTATGTGTGAAGGGATAGTGGAGAGGCCGAAGGAAAGAAAAGGATTGAGAACATAGGTGCCAAGGGGCAGAGCCCCCATTTCTACCTTTCCTCACCCCAGTTCCTGTCTGCCTGAGATCCTCAGCCTCATCACTCACCTCTGCTCTAGTTTCCCAAGTTTCATGCACAAACCCCTGGGACAACTCAGGGAAGATGAACTGGGATGGGATTAATAAGACCCCCCTCCTCTTGCCTTTCTGCCACTTCACTTGGGGTGTGGCAGAGGGAGTTTGGAGCAGTGTGTTTATTGGTAGGAAGGTCAAGGACTCTCAGCTAGGTTCAAGGAAAGTCTTAGCTTAGAACACCTCATAGCAAGGTCTACCTAGGTTGCATAAACAATGCCAGGAGTACAAACCAGTAGTACACCCTCAATGGAGAGGAAGTTAGCAGCATCTAACAAAGCTACATACACATTTACCCAGCAACCCTACTTCTAGGAATTTATCCAGAAGATGCTCATTCACAAATATGGAAAGATACATACAAGGTGATTTTTTTTTTTTTTTTTTTTGAGACAGAGTCTCGCTCTGTCGCCCAGGCTGGAGTGCAGTGGCGCGATCTTGGCTCACTTCAAACTCCACCTTCCCGGTTCAAGCAATTCTGTCTCAGCCTTGTGAGTAGTTGGGATTACAAGTGCACGCCACCACGCCAGCCAATTTTTTGTATTTT